CCCAGCCTGCGACATGCTGGAAGCTTGTTTAAACAAAGGAGCTCGGCCCATGGCGTCAGGGAGAGGCTGAGCAATGAGCCTTGGCAGCCCCATTAGTCACCGGTCGGAGCCAAGAAGCTGTGGACATGACTGGTTGTGGGGGCTGACCTCCCTCCCGCCCCGAGGTGGTCTCTGCACGTCAGGGCTAAGGCCCATTAGCAAGGCAGCGTGAGAGGAGGTTGCAGTGTAGTTCCCTGCGTCCTAGCTCCATCAACAAACAGGGGCCTTCAGCCTCCAGGGGCTATAAATCAGCCCCTCTCACTAGATGATGGCATTTGTTCAGCCTGATTTCCAGCAGCATGGGGCCTGGAGGGCACCAGCAACAGCCGTGCGGGCGCCGCAGCCTCCATGCATGCTTGGGAGCCAGCAGAACTGGGCAGGTCACCCCTAACTCGGCCTCTGCCTGCAGAACCTCAACGTCTCCTTCCAAGGCTGCGGGATGGACTCCCTGAGCGTCAGGGCCATGGACACGGACACACTCAGCCAAGTGAAGGAGAAGATTCTGGAGGCGTTCTGCAAGAACGTCCCCTACTCCCAGTGGCCGAGGGTGGAAGACGTCGACCTCGGTAAGGACCAGGTGCATTAGGCCAGCCAGTCCTTAAAAGCAGATGAAGCACCTGATGCCGCATGGTAGCTCTTGGTCTCTGCAGAGGGCGGTGGGTGAAGCAGCACTGACAAGAGGGCAGGCATCAGGACAGCCTTTTCCGGAGGATGGTCTTCAGGAATGGGTGGTGGGACCAGGTACTGGTGGGCAGGAATAACTGGGCACATAACTGGAAAGAAGCTTGAGGAAAGCCCAAGTGGAGCAGAGGGATGCTTTGACTTGCACGCTTGAGTCTCAACTCCAGAACAGATACCCTCTAGAACACCGCTGAGCCTGGAGATAGCTTGTTAATGCGTGTCTCCCCGTCAGCAGCTGCAGTTGAGCCCATGGACTCCTGTCCTGCCATAGATTCAGGTCTGTCATTTGTCTAGCTGGTGGTCAACTCCTTCTCCCCGAACTGAAGAAGGGTCCAAGCCCGATGCTGGTAGGAGAAACCCAGGCTGCCTGTGGTGCCGTGGTGGAGCGTGCCTGGGCCGGTGGCAGTGGCAAGGCTTGACAGTCACTGTAGTCGTTGCCAGAGGGGGTCTCTGCAGAACGCCCTGGGCTGGAGCGGCGACAGGGCCCTGCTTCTCTCGGCCAGTGCCGTGGCATGTCCCCGGTCACGGACATGCGACCAGCAGGGAGCCACCACCACCCTCCGGTGCCCACGTGCAGGCCACGCAGCGTCTCGTCTGCCTGGTGCTGCGTGACCCCAGTCCTGCACGGTTGGGGCGGGAGGGGAGGGGGAGAAGTGCTTCTCCCCGTCTCTCTGAGCAGAGCCTCTGCCACCTCTCCCAGCTCCGTCCAGGTCTGCTCTAGTCTGGAAGTCCCCACCTCTGGGGCTAACGCTGGAGGCCACTGCTGAACATCTGCTCTGGCTTCCCAGAGCCCCAGAGCCACGCGGCGTCTCGTCGGCCTGGTGCTGCGTGACCCCAGTCCCGCACGGTCGGGGTGGGAGGGGAGGGGGAGAAGTGCTTCTCCCCGTCTCTCTGAGCAGAGCCTCTGCCACCTCTCCCAGCTCCGTCCAGGTCTGCTCTAGTCTGGAAGTCCCCACCTCTGGGGCTAACGCTGGAGGCCACTGCTGAACATCTGCTCTGGCTTCCCAGAGCCCCAGAGGCCCCCAGGTGCTGTGTGGCCGGTCCCCAGGGCCCCGCTGCTGTGCCTCCTTCAGGTCAACATCTCACTTCTCCCTTCTCTGTGTCCAGAGTGGTTCGCCACCAGCACCGACAGCTACATCCTCCGGGACCTTGATGACACCTCGGTGGTGGAGGACGGCAGGAAGAAACTCAACACATTGGCACATTACAAGGTAAACCTGCCAGCGCTGCGGGGAAGCTTCGCTTCCTTGGAGCCCGCCTGGCCTCAGGCCGAGCTGCGGTTCCCCCTCCAAAAGCGGGAACAAGCAGGGAGGTTGCCATAGCTCCGTGAGAGCTTCCGGGGAATAGACATCTGCCCTGGCGAGAAGCTCGTTAATATTGCAACACACTGAAACTAATTAAACACTCTTCATGCAAAACAAGTTATTACTGACAACAGAAAGGAGGAAAAAAAGCTTCTATTCCCAACGGCCACCAGCTTGGCTGATTAGTATCACTCTGCTCTTGATCCGTGCTCCTG